AATCTTGCTTGAGAAAAATGCGTGCGCAGTACAGCTAAGGTGCCAAATGGAAATATCGGCGAATTTTTTAGATAGAAAATACATTCTTTACATGGATGGTCGTTTCTTTTTAGGACTTTACTATTATCGGACAAATGCAATGTGGTTGAAAACAACATGTTGAGGACGATTGGATTTCTTATTTAGACTTGTCACGTGATGTGGCAGTCACATGATTTTTTGCAAATATACCTGCAGTATTGAGGTCATCTATAAATTCTAATATTGCAAGCGCATAACCAAGTTAAAAATCTAAGTTTAATTTAAAATTATTTTCAACACTCTTTGTAGTTTGTGAAAAGTGCTGCGAACCTTTATAGATTCTACTATCTAATTGCTAAAATTACATTTGTTAGACCGTATGTTGAATATTTTGCTGGTCAAGTACATTAAATAAAGATATAATTAATTCATTTGCAAGATTTTAACAGGTTCGCAGCACTTTTCAAATATCTTCATACTTCTTGAGTTTCTGTGTAAAAGCTTGTCATAATTCATTGAGGGTATGTCCTTGCAATATATCGATTTATTACGACCCTTCTATTACCCTTCAATGAATTTGCATACAAATACACGACAGTATCGCTTATCTAGGGAATGTACGGGAAGTATATGAATGAAATCATAAAATAGACATCACATCCAACTTAATGGCCTCTTATATATCTACAATTTATATTTTATTTAATTACAAAATACATTTTTAATTGTATAAAATATGCCTTGATCTGCCTCTCACTGCATACATTACGATATGACGTCACATTGACAAATGCATTGCGATCAGTGAATTGTTTATATATTGCTATGTGGGATTTAACCAACGACAATAATGCATGCACTAGTTAGCATTGATGTAGTTTAAAGCTATTCAACAGTTTAAAATAGCAAATCATTTCATTTTGTGGTAATTTGACGAAATTATATTTTGTGTGATGTTATAGTAAGCATTTCTCGTAAAAATTAGGCCCCGCCTCCTTATTGCAGCCTTAACTGTGCTGCGTGATGGCTTTGTTTTAATACAGATGGCGATATTGAGTAGAAAATACCCTCAAATTTGTCGGTAAGTTGCATTTATTGTGAAATATTTGTGCCAGAGTAATATTATAACTTTTCAGGCTCACAAGGATGCAACGAGTTTATCTATGTGACAAAAAGTTCATAATAATTGTGTTAATCAGCAGCGCCGAAAGCGATTAATGTAAGAGACTTCAAAAATTATAAATGACCGTCACGTGATCAACGAAGTCATGTGATATCATAACAAACATGTTTTAATATCGCTAAGAGAACTCTTTATATAAATTGGCCGTACTTAAGTACATATCTTACAAACAAAAATAAAAATCGACCTTGCAATGTAGTGTTATGTTTTGAACGCATTTAAAGCTTCTGGAAGCCTTAACATTGCTGCGAACAGCAAATAGCTTAATATCACCTGCATATGGGGTTTTTATCTCCATGTTGATTCGATATGCAAGAACATGCCCAATGTATAAACAATTGTTAAAACGAAGGAAGCTATTGACAAACACGTTGATGAGACAAAGATATGAGTAGTCTCTATTGAAATCATCATTTTGCATGTTTTATGGTCGATACAATGACAGAAAATACAACCTATCATCCAGTCAAATGCTGACTGACGCTTTTCATATTAATTGTTAGGCCATTATTTACACACTGTCTACTGAATTGTCTACGGATATTCCAGTTTTCATGACAAGGAACACATGGCAGGTGTGGTCGGTCGGCAGGGGATGGCACCTGATCTCACCTCTGATGTTTTTAGGTCCGTGTTTCGTCTACATCCGATTTGTATTGTTTAAATGGACTTTGAGCTTGAATATATACACTGTTCGTTCACTCCATATTTCATCAAACAGATCGAGTTTGAAAATTTTGTGTTTAATATTTCTGTACATTTAAAACACGGCTTAATAACTCTCTATATGTAGGTGCTTTATTTTTGTTTTTGTTTTTTTTAATTTTTTATTCGTACAAATACTCAACAGGAAGCCGATTTCACATGATAATCGGTATTATACAGAGGATTTAAACCATTTTAAAAAATTGTGCTTTTAGATCATACAAATGTAAACACAATTATATATAGTGTGTGGAAACCAATGTATACTCCAAACTTAAACGCCAGGACAAGTTAAGTACACACAGCATAGCACAATGGTAGCATTAATAAGACTTAATAAAACCCCTTTTTGACTACCTTTCTTTTTACTCTGCATGGCCCCACTATAGCTCCAGAGGCTATTTTTGAAAGAAAACGAATCTTCAATGTTACTTGATATTAGTATGTCTTTACAAGTAATTCTATAACACTTTTATTTTTTATATTTTAAGCTAAACTCCCTTTCAAAAGGGCTGTAACAACACTTTGAGAAGCTTGTGGTAAGTTGAGTCTTAACTGGCCCAGGGGAAGCATAATATGTCAACGACAACAGATAACAATAAGAGAACAGACAAATTTGGCTAAAACTTTCAGCTACCATATAAAAAGAAATACATATCACCATTATAAGGGCAGAATCAGATATATTCTAATAACTGTAAGGTGTTTATTGAAAATATAACGACAATGTTCTCAAAACGATTTCAAGTTTATTTCTAGAAGAGGATCGGTCTACCGTAAACTGAATTATTACACTTGGCATTCCATAGGACGCATGTGAAGCTTTCCCAAATTATGATATTTTCGTCCCAGTTCAACTCTGGATGACACGATCTATTGACATTCATAATACATGTTTAAAAAAGTGCAGTTTACCCCCTCTTACATGACCTACTTAGTTCCTATTGTTAAAATGTCATCTTAAATGTTAACACACTATATTCATGAAAAAAAAAAAGATAAAGGTATATTAATTAAATCTGTTATCTATTTATATATGAAACATGTAGTATTGTTATTCTGTATGGAAATTCATTTTAACCTTAAAATTACTAATTCACAAATAGAAAACAAATTTTCATAACCAAATACCGGTTCGCAAGTTATGTCAGGTAGCATATTTTATTGTCCTCGAAGAATTGAGAACATCTCCGTTAGATATATAATTTTTGTTCATATTTGAGAAAAACAACTTTGAACTAAGTTGAAGTGGGATACAAAACTTTAATGTATTGTAAAACTTGATATCTAATTTTTAGAAATCATATAACATTGCATGCACGCAATTGGCACATTTTCACCACATGATAGAGATTAAGGACCCTCTCTACACTGCACCCTATTTTCAGGGTACTTTTGTGTAATTAGACTGACCCACCATTTGACATAGAGGTAAAATAAATTGTAATCTGAATTGTATCAGATAATTTAAAATAAATCCAAGTATTCTAAACATTATATAAGACCAAGATAGAGTATTTGAAAACTTTATTTGCATGTATTTTATCCATTTAAATTGAATAAGCGAAGGCAATTTTTCTTTTCTATTACTTCACTGTCTTTGAAGATTTTTCCTGAATAAAAAAGGCACGCTCCCTATATTAAAAATAAGTTAGTTAATTTCAAAATATCCTCCTTTATGTTATATAATTTTCTCAAAGTCCAAAAAACATTTTTTATCAGTGTATAGAGGGTCATTAAGCAAGCGCCACAACTCTTACCGTTCAAGCATTTAGCAGTACTATCACACCTAAGCTTTGTATTCAATATATATATCACACCTAAGCTTTGTATTCAATGTATATATATATTTTGGTTACCAGCTTTGCTGAAAATTGCCGGTGCAGAATTTTATTTCTGAGTAAATTTGTTCATCCTACACTTGGTCACTAACTATAAAATTTGTGTAGTCTTAGTAGTGGCTCCAGTCTTGCTAAAATCTGTGGTACATGTAATTTGTTAGTTAAAAAAAAAAAAAATACTTGTATAGATCTTGAGGATCAATTTTGTTTTGTTCTCGTTATTCTTATTATCAAACGAATGTTCTATGGCTTTCAAATTTGTTAATTATTTCCACTTTTGCAGTTAATTAGATTACAGACATTTTAAAAGTTTTGTTTAACACTCGGCATTGAAGGATACTAATTTGCAGGGACAGTTGTATAAACAAATTATAACTCGTCTGCGTATTTTTTTCTGAATTAGCATCACACCTTGGTTAAGCAAAGCATGAAGCTGGCTTACAAGAGTAATAATTACGATAATGCATTTAGATAAAAGTTGTAGGAATGACATATCTGTGACCTAAAAATTGTCATTGATGAAAATTGCAATAGTAATTTGTTTTTTTAAAGGAATATATGAAATAAGAAAAATACGGTAATTTCAGGAAACCAAATACATATGTCTAGAATGTTCAATATATTGATTACTCTTAATTAGGTATTTTTATAACATAATGAAAATTTCCCTGACCTGCTTCTTTGAAACATAGGCTTTGTTGTTACTATGAAAATCTGATATCCCAAAAGTAATAAAATGTAATCAAAACACTTTAGTATGAAAGAAAGCAATAGATTACCTTCAAAAAATACTCTGGCATATATTAAGATTTCACTTGGTTTACTTCTCACAGCTCCGTAGGCATTAGGCACAGTATACCTACATGTACATATTATGATATTAAACATCAAGGGAGAAAATGCAATATATCAGACAAGGATTAAAATCACCCATCTTTATAAAAAATGATATACTATACTAAACTACTAGTCCTAGGGCAAACAAACGTGACTGATCACCACACATAGAAATAGACAAAAAAAACCAAGGTAAGTGTAGACCGGAGAAACTGTGAAACTCAACACTTGAGACAACAAAAAAACTTCCTTTTTCAAAACCTCTTAAAGAACTGTCTTAATTTTCTGCTAGATACCAAAACTTAATTTTCGAAACTTCACTCCAAAACTCATAATTGCACAAACATGTTCAAGTTGCACGCTGTGCCTCAAATGACATTTAGTTCTCCTTGATTATTAAATGTAGTGAGTTGTGTATTTATGACGGATTGCCATGCGTTGAATAATATGGGAGTATATCATGCCCACGTTTTGTAAGTATACAAAAAGTAACCCATCGTAGAGTTTCTTAAATGTGATTTATATATTATTTCTTTGCGTAGCATCAATTGTAATTTTCTACAACTAAAGATATATTTAAATTTATAAATCCCAAAACTGATTTCCGTTCGTGTAATAGGTCTTTGTTTTTTGCCTTAATTTTTTAGGAATGCACAGTCATTTTTTGCATTATAAAGATTTTTGTTTTCTCTGGTGAATATGATATGAATTGCAAGTATTTGTAGAAAAATAGATAACACAATTTACTAGACTGGTTTTAAAATCTAGATAAAAAATAAGTTGACGGATTTTTCCGTTATTTCCCGATCATGACAAGGAGCACACGGCGGGTGTGACCGGTCAGCAGGGATGCTCAATCCTCCATTGCACCTGATCCCACCTCTGATGTTTTGGAAGTCCGTGTTTGTTCTGCACCTATTTTGTAATGTTTAATGGACTTTTGAGGCTTGAATACTGTTCGTTATCTCCATATATTTCATTGAAAAATAATAAAAAAAGATATAGAAAATATTTCATATCAAGTTTAAATCTTAAACTTTAATTGCTCATCATATATCTGTTCAATGGAATGATCTATCGAAAACTGAATTTCTGTTTCTAAAATCTCTCTCTCTCTCTCTCTCTCCCCCCTCCCATGATCATAGAAAGTGGAAACAGCTTGCTACGAAGTTTATGATATAACGAGAGTTAAATTAAATACTAGCTATTTACAAAATGCCAAAAGCACAGGAAAATCCTTATCAAGGTTGCTGAGAGTCAGATAATGAGCACTTTAAATGCCAGATGTATGCAATCAAACTATGCAATTTTCGGATGGCGATAAAAACATTCCTCAAACCCTAAGCAAGAAAACCTTTGACGAAAGAGCCAAAGCGTGGTAAAAATACCTTTTCCCCATTAATCGTCAATGGTTGATTGAAAAGAAACCACACTAACATCAGGAGGCAAATGACTTTAGTGTAATTGTCGGAGAGTTTATATGTGCTATGTTTACTTTAATAATAACGCATATTAAACTTAATAGCTGGGTTCCAGCTTTTGCATCATATGTAATGGCTTTGGTAATGTAGATTTCTAAAAATAATAAGTCAAGGCATTCTGCTTTGTAATTGATAAAAATAATCAAAAAGTTCTCTGAAACCTCAGAATTATTTACGTGATTTAAAATTGTTTTGATATCTGCTCCTCTATCAGGAAAGATAACTCTTTAATTTATCATGTAATTAAAAAGTCTCAAAATGGAGCTTCAGATTGAAATATTATCATGCAACAATTCTCTTTCTATGCAAATTAATATGGTTTAAGGTTCTTTAAAGTCTTAAGTACAGTCTCCTAAAGGTTGACATTTGTATCCATAAAAGTGAAAAAATAAAATTTTTTTTTGTTTTGTTCAGAAATCGATTTTTCTTTAATCTAGTGTTAGATTCCAATGCCTATAACTTTTCATGAAATAAAATAACAACCGACCTGTAATGCCTTCGATAATATTATAAGTTATTTATACGATGTATTATATAACAATTGACGTAATTTATATAGACCTTAACACAGCATAAGTATTAAAACATGGAATTTTTTTCGAAAATGTCTAAATACCAATACTTCTTCATCCTAAAATACATGTATATTTGTTCATCAATTTTCAATTGGAAAACACAAAGCGGGCACTTTTATTCGTGTTTCCCAAAAATATATTCGAGATTTGATTACTTTCCCTACATACATGTAATATCATTAACTGTAATGATAAACTTTGAAGAAATATCCTTGGTGAACACGCTGGAATTCAGACACATTTTGTGAGCATTCTCAATTAGGTAACTGTTAATTTTCAGAATGTGAGGATAGGACTACTTTGAATTAGAACACTTAATTGACATTCCATTACACGCATATTAGGTTTTCCCTGATGTATGATATTTTTGTACTAGCGCATCTGTGAATGACATGATCTATTTACAAACAAAATACATGTTAACAAAATAATTTTGCACTTTTCCCCCCTAACATGACCTACATTGTTAACATCGTTAAAAGGCACCTAAAATGCAAGGACTCTATTTAAAAACAAGTTAAAAACTTAACTAAATTCTTTCATCCATTTATATTTCAAACTATTTGTATTTTTATTCAGTAGGGAAATATCTCTCACTTTTAAATAACTAAGTCACGAATAGAAAACAAATTCAAATTTCTAAAGACATATCAAATAGCAGCTCGTAAAATATGCCAGGTTACGTATTTTATTGACTACAACGAATTGAAAACATATCTGTTTAAGTGATGAAAAATTGTTATCAATAAGTTACATCTGAAAACTCTTGAAATATCAAATTTACTTCCGTGCTATCCTGAGTGAACTAGCGATTTGAAACTAAAAACGTTTTGAATCTTAGAGTGAACCATTATGAGGTTTATAATATAAGATCCAATATTTGTAAATAAAGCGTACAAACGTTCATCGCAGTCATAATATGTCTTTCAAATGTATTTCGTCGCTGCTTTCACATCTGTCACTTGAGCTATTAATAGACTTTTTGGCTACATAGGTTACTATTAAAATTTTTGCGTCTCAGGTGACCTGTTGCTATCTGTTTTGTTCTTTGTCGTACGGGAGTGCGAACATCATGGTACATTAATTATGCACCCCCCCCCCCCCCCCCGGCCTAAGGGTTGGGGATGAAAACATGAAAATTATTATTTTTTTAATCTTTACGCCCGGGCATCAATCAGTTAAACTGTTGTCATGGCATAAGCATTAAGCACTCTTCCAAAAATGTTAAATACATGGTTCCAAGTTCAGGGTTTATGGAGTTCTGGCTCTAATGATCATAGAGAGAACATGATTAAATTCTCTAAATTTTCTTCTCTACCCCATTATTTTCATCAGATAAACTAGGAGTATGAGCGTAATGAGCAATGACGACTCTTCGAAATTGTTATTAATTTCATGGCCCAAGGGTCCGGAATTCGGGGGGGGGGGGGGGGGGGGCTCTATTGATTATATTGTTAAAATTCATTATTTCTTTGAAAATTGTCTTTGCTCTTGTGTATTAAGGAACAAAAACTAAATGCATGGCCATGACAAGTAATGCTGTCTTTAAGAAAATTATGAATTTCATGGCCTCAGGGTGAGGGGTTCTGGTGGTGGAAGGGGAGGTGGTGGTGGCTTATATAGTGAAAATGCATTTCTTCTTTGCAAATCTTCTTCTCTACTCCTGGGTATTAAGGAACAAAAACTGAGCACATGGTTCTGATGAGCAATCTTGTCTCTTCAAACATTATGAAAATTGTGGCCCAAGGATCAGAGTCTCCGGTTGGGGGAGGGGTTATTGATTATATATATTGAAATTGAATAATTTTTTGAGGATTTTCTTCTCTGCTTCTGGGTATTAAGGAACCAACCCTTGTTCATAGTTATGATGAACAAGGGTGCTTCTTACGGAATACTGAATGTCATGGCCCCTGGATATTTGGTTCAGGTGAAAGGGCAGGGTTCTTATGATGATATAGTGAAAATGCATTATGTCTTTGAAAATTTTCTTCTCTGCTTTTTGACATAAAGTAAACAAACTAAGTACATATTTAGAATAGGGACTTCCAATATTGTGAATTTCATGACCCCTGGGTAGGGGGTTCTGGTGTTTAGGGGGGGGGGGGGCTCAATTGAATATATAGTAAATAAGTGAATGCTTTTAATTCTTAAAATGTCTTCATTCCACCTCGGTATTTACCATTTACTAAGTGGATGGTTATACTGAGCAAGTGTACCTTTTCCAAATTTTGAACTTTCTGGTGTAAGGGTAAGTGACCCTTATATTTGAAAGGGAAAGGGGGCTACATTGTTTATATAGTGAAAATGCATTATTTCTTTGGAAATTGTCTTCTCGTTTGCATTAAGCAAACAAACTAAGCATATAGTTATAATGAGCATGGATGCATCTTCCATAATTACAAATATCATAGCCCCTAGGTATGAGCATTTTTTTTCCTTTAGAATCTTTTCCTTTGATTTTGGGTATTAGCATATAAACTAGATGCATGGTTCTGATTAGCAGATGTGCTTCTTTCAAAATTGTGAATTTCATGGCCCCTTGATAAGGGGATATCGTGTTAGTGCGGGAATCTATAGATCTGACAGTGAAATGCATAACATCTTTAAATATCTTCTCTGTCCTTTGATATTAAGCAAATAAACTATTTGCATGTTTATGATGAGCACTGATGCCTCTTCCAAAATTATGACATTAATAGCCCCTGGGTCAGGGTTTTGATGTAAGGGCAGTAATTTGTCAGTATATAGTGAAAATGCATGATATCTTTGAAAATCTTCTCTGCCCCTGGGTGTTAATCAAACATGCTAAATGCATGGTTCTAATGTGCAAGGGTGCTTCTTTCAAAATTAGGTTTTTTTTTACCCTTGCGTCAGTGGCTCTGGTGTGAGGGTGGGGCTTCATTGATTATATAGTAAGAATGCATTAATTCTTTGAAAATATTCTCCTGTGCTCATGGGTATTCAGCAGATAAAGTAGGTACATGTACATAGTTATGATGAACAAGTGTGCTCGATCTCTTTCAAAATTTTGACTTCCATGGCCCCTTGGTGAAGGAATTTTGTGTTAGGCTGTGTTGAATCTATAGTGAAATGAATTATTTCTTTGAAAATCTGCTCTGCTCCTTAGCAAACAGACCACAAAGTTGTAAAGGGCAAGAGTATTTTTGCTACAATCTTGACCAGTTAGTTAAATGTTTTGGTGCTGGGCTGGGCTCTGTGAATTTTACTGCTTTAAATGCCTCATGGATTCCATAGCTCTATTTTCGAAATATATCTAAAGTTATCATATTGACATAACTTTTGTTTATATTTTTTTCAATTGTATATAGTCTGCTTTTAGTCTAAAAATCTCTAAAAATAAACAAATAAAAATGGTAAAAAATTTATTATTTCTTTGACCTTGTATTTCGAATTTTAAAGTAAATGCAAAACTTGGTAGTTCTTTTGTCTATTGTTAAGATCAAGTATGAATATAGTAATTTTCGAATTTTTTTAATCTGTGAGATCCTATAAACATCTTGTACATTTGGTGCATAATTTTGTAGATTTTATTTTTTTGTTTTCTGTTTATTATGTATAAGTCTTGCATCCATTCTTGTCTCCTCTAACATCATTTTGGCATTTTTTCTGTTAAAAGTTTGAAAGATAATATGTACTGCCTGGCATTTTAAACTGTTTAACACACAGTATGCAATTCATCATTTATATCTCTACTGCTTCAATGGCACTATGATACCTAATAGCCTAATACTATTTATCATATTTTTTTTTATTCATTCACCCATTGAAACAATGATAAGAGTAGGAAGAGAAAGGTGGTGTGTTGGGGATTAAAAATGAGACAGACTTATAAAAATAACCAAACTGTTTTGAGACATGACCTCGTTATTATCAATTCTTTTATGACAAATTTCGCAATGTCATTTTTCAGGATGCATATTAAGCTAGGGATATTGCATGCTATTTATCACTATTTTTTTTTTGGGGGGGGGGGGGGTTATTATATTAAAAATATTAGAATGCATACGTTCAAAATTATAAAACTGCTTAGTTTTAGTTGACAATGCATTAAATTTCATTTAGACATTTGGCGAATCTACCAAAAATGACGTAATTTTCTGGCTAGTCAATGCATTATGATGTCATGAAATGCGTCATTTTCCTCATATCCTGAACAATTCTACAAAAACAGCCCATTTTAAAGCTATTTTTCGATATTTAATATAGAGCGCAATCTTTGATCTAAAATATGCAATTGTTTACTGATAGAACCGTTTCTGAGGATTGCAAAACACGTTTTATTTTTTAGATCAGAGGGTATGCTCATATTATTTTTCTTCTCTGAAAGTATTTAAATATACCTGTTTTCCTTAAGATTCAAGAACATTGCAATTCCATAAAGCTTGTTTTCCAAGACCAGGACTTTAAGGAGAAAAATTTTAATAGTACATGAAAACACTAAGTCTCTACTTTATCTTGATGTTTAAAATGGAACATAAGGTGTTAGTCAATAAATTGGTAATATATCAACAGTGCCATTTTATGCATAAAGTGAACCTAGCTCTTTGAATCAGCAATAGATATTATTGCATTTTCAATGTTTAACTGAATATCGATATTAAATTCAAGTCTTACATAAGGGCAACTGAAGCTGTCATTTCTGACAGTGAACTTTATAAAAAGTTTCATCATTTTTTTTCTTATAAATATCTGTTTCCTATCTTTCAGGTAATGAATGTCAGAAAAAGGAATGATATGACATGGAAATTGAAGCTCCCATAACATTATTCTACTTTGCGGTTTTTATGCAGATGTTGGTTAGTAAAATGAGGAATTTTCCAAACGATTACTATAAATAATTGGTTTTGATGACAAGTTTAATTGCCACGATATTTGTGTATGTAGGACCTATGATCGAAAATCTTAAACACATTTTTTTCACGTGAATATATGTTCCTAGGTGTAAACTACGAAGAATATCAGTCGCCCGCGTGGCGTAGTGGTTAGAGCGTTTGCTCTAGAGTCGCAGTGTAAGGAGTTGATCCTTCGTCGCGTGTTCAAATCCACTGCGGGACCTGGATACCGGTCCTTCGGATGAGACTGTGTAAACCGAGGTCCCGTGTCGCAGTTGGTGCTGGTACGAAAGATCCCTCACAGCTCCATGGCCCTAAGTGCCGAGTGTAGGTCAAAATTTGCAAGTGGTGGCGTCTCCATATGAGTGAAAATTTCTCGAGAGGGACGTTAAACAACAAACAAACAACCGAAGTATATCATTTCTGAAGTTGTTTATCTAAACATAATTAATGCATTTCACATGGAAAAAAAATCTATTTGTTCACGTGATCTTGAACAAATTTCCAGTTTGTCACCATTTATTTACGCTACTCCACAATTTAGTACTGTATTTTGGAAATGCAGACTGTTACACAGGGGGAGTTGGGAGGTGGGGTAGAGAGGGGTTCAATGGTTAAAAACTGAAATGCATTTCCTTCTTTTATTTTCAAATTACTGCAATAGATGTCACAATCTGAAGTTTATTTTTTTTACTGTTATTTTTGTTACATTTATGACCATTTTCAGTGTATTTGGATTGTCTCACAATACTTCTCTTTCTCTATTATTTGAAAAAAAGTACACTTTAATTTCCTCTCCTGCACTTTAACATGTAAGAAACACTAATGAATTGACAGCGCAAATTCAATATTCAACTGAGGTGTTTTGTAGATAATTCATCCCTTTAAAGGGACGACCAACTGATTCTGAGGGGAGGGGGCTATTTATTTCCACGTCGCTGAAGGACAGATTAATTACTTTCAAAATGAATGAGGACATATTATTTATTTTTTTCATCACCGAAAAGACTTTGACAAGCAATAAAAAAAAAGAAAAATAAAACGGAAATTTGCCAAACTCTTCACTTCTTTTTCTTGGGGGAAAGGGGTGGTAGCACCAATCAGTGACTGATTATTTATTTTCTGGCCAGTCAAAGACGGACTATTCATTATTTATTTCCTACATTTTCGAGGACAGATTATATATTTCGAAAATCTGCCAGCCCCCTTGGCCCCCACCCCCACTTCATTCTACCCATTAGAATCAAACGACGTCCCCTAATGAGGATAGTTTCAGACCCCTCTCTTTACTTTTCTTTCTTTAGTAATTTTCATATGGTATGCAGTATGTTTATTTCAGGTAACATACACGATAGATACTACTACCTTAGACTCTGAATTTTGTGGGATATCTAAAGTAACAAAAAGAGTTGTGGATCTGTGTCCAACAGATAAGGAATCTTGGTCGAGGGCTGCTAAGCAGTTTAATTGTTCACAATTTGAAGGGAAATGTACACAAACTTTAGAATATCATTGTCTTATCAATCCTTGGCAAAATGTGACGGCAGAAGTATGTGCTCCACCTACACGCATCCGTTCAGGTACAACTGTGTTCATTGATATCTTCGATTTTATCATTACATTGTCGGGTCGATAGTATGACATTGCATGCTCTAGATCGACAACTTCAGTACTTCATACACGTTATATTATGTTTAAAAAGTTTGAATATAGACCGTTAATTCAAACTAGTACTTGTTTATCTTAAGCAAATATCTGGTCATAGAATCGAAGAAATGGAAATTATTATATATTATCTACATCAGAAATTCAATTCAGTTGAGCACTAATAAATTTAAGTAAATGATGAAGGAAAGTAGTCAAAAATATATGGTTTCAATAGGAGATACTAGTGCAATAAAATAAAAAAAAGAGTCTTTTTTCGGGGGTGGGGGTTGGGGTCATAATCATGAGTAAATATAGACGTATATAATTAATTATTAGGGAGAAGACCCATGAAAAATTGATGTCAAATGTCTGTGTCATTAGATGCTTTAAACTATCTTAACATGATACTTAAAGGAAGAGAAATATCAAGGAAAATGGCAGACATTTAGTTTTGTTTATTAGATAATACGCACATTGTAAGTACACTCCCTATATAAGTAAACCGACGTAACACGTGCCTCCTAGGTGATCATACCTCATATAAATATAAACACTCATAAAATAATGTGATATGCAACAACATTTGATAGTTATAACAACTGTTTAAAAAGCGTAACACACTTTTAAAAACAATCAATACTCAACGAATAACCGACAAGTCTCTCAGATACTGACATCTTGCAAAGTTTTATTCACAACAACACATGCGTTGAAACGCGGAATGTGATTGGTTGATGAAAATAAAAGCAATGGTATGGTTGGTCAAAACCGAAGTACATGTAAACCCCCCGAACTTCATTTTGAGGTGAATCTACTCTGAGGTAAAAATCACGAAAGAGGGTGTGGACCAATCGAAAAGCATAAAAATCCTGATCATTTAATATAAAAAAAATATATCATATATTTTGCACCTGTATTCATGATTCATCTGCAAAGCCTAGGATAAAATTGGATAGGATGATTCAAACGAAAGTCTGCAAATTTTCTTTTTCATGAATGTAAGATATTTTTAGGTCACTGTGCAGAATACAATGCAAGGGGAGGTAAAATCCAGGAATTTTATATACCAAACTGTGAGTCATGTGCCAGGGATTACATGTCGACAGAAGCATACAAATGTACGTTTTACTATCTCAAGGTTAATTATTTATTTTCTGTCACTCCTTTCATGATAACTTAAACGTAGTTCTTATTAAAATCGAAAAGAGGTTTTTCACTTATTTCTGCTTATTGTTTTGAAAGCATTAATTTAGAATTTCCTCTCACAAGTCTTTTTGATAAATGAACTACTTAATACTTTGAAAGGGAATCTAATATATTTCTCTCCAGACCAAGAATGTTATGACCTAGTTTATCGTCAAAAAGAAAATCTACAGCAGAGAAAAGGGAATAAAGCAGAAACACACCAGCGAACTCTTAACAAGCAACAGGAGACACGATTTCGACCTAGGTATAGATTATCATGAAACCCTTACATTCAAAGCTTACATTCAAATTTGCACGAGTTAAAAGATAGACAGCCAATGCTGTACGTAAGTATTGAAATCTTTTGGAACAAACAATCGAAAGACATTAGATTCGGATACATTGTACTTGTTTGTTTTCATTCGATTTACTAGAGTCATTTTTTTACCTTATGAATCAGCAGACCAAATGAAGTATGTCAGTCCATATAATTCTGAGTAGGATGAATTACCCCCGCGTACATATGCGTCCTAAATGTGATGTTCCCAGTGAAATTGTTTGTTGCTTTTTTTTTCAACAGTGCGGAATCATTTGGCGATTCCAGTGACGGAAGCAGAGTCAGAAGCAGTAGAGGCATCTACCTTCGTGTTTTCTTTCTATGTTTAATGATTGTTCTTAAAAGTGGAGCATTGTTATCTTAATTGTAGATAAATTGGAAATATTTTATTATTATTTGAGACTTATTTTAAAGATAATTTAAAAATAATTTTTAGCATGTAGGACATGTTTGTAAAGCTAACACCTTTCAAATTATTTTTTTAAGATCTTTTTCTCAATGGTCACGAAAATGATCATTGACATCTTAAATGTTTCTTTGGGTAAACTGAATATCAGAAGTTTTATTGTCTTTCCAAATTCCTCATTCATGGTGTCAACACTACAATGATAATACACGAATATGGCCCTGAGTTTTACTTCTGATGGTAAATGATATTTCCATTTAAAAAAATCATCGTCATCAAGTACCATCTAACTCACATATAGAAATTGTCATTGTGCATTTAAGCATATTTGGAAAAGTTTGTGCAAAACCAATTTTCTAATAAACGTATGTTATACACTTTTTACCATTTATTTCAGTATTTATCAAAATGGCACTGTTGTACAATGCAAAAAAAAAAAAAAACAGAGAGAGAGAGAGAGAGAGAGAGAGAGAGAGAGAGAGAATACATACATGAACGTATTGAAATATAATGTATATTAAATAATTGATGATGATGCATACATGTGTATATTTACAATTTCGACTATTTTCTCTGCGATAACGTTTTGAAAGTTAAGTGTGTTGATTGTTCGATATATACAACTGAATGTAAATTTCGCCAAGTGAAAGGTCAAGGGCCTTTTATGCATGTCAATCTCTCGCAGCTGTCAATGTTTCTGAAATCAGTGGGATGTCAGAACATGGAATGTCTCGTGTATTTTAAATTTATAAGCATTTTTTAAAATTTATATTTAGATTTTTTAGCAATTGAAGCCCGTTATTCAAATTATTCCACGTTTCCAACTATTGTTGATGCTCTGGCATACCCAACAAACTAGAGTTAAAGTGGTCTCCGTATATTTCAGACTCGAGGTTGAAATTATAAGAATCTTCACAATGAGTACATAAACGGAAGGTGATGACATTAAGTAATAGGACTGATAGATTCACAGGTACTATGTTATTAGATATATTTAATGACTCTTTAATGTTTGGATATGAAAAGCGGATAATAATAAAATGGTGTTACAAGAGATAAACAGTTCTTGAGATATACCACTCTACTGATTTAACGTCCGAGAAGTGTCACCCGCTAAAAAAAACCGTTTGTGGGAACTAAAATGTGACATCAAAAATAATAGATAATACATGTAGATACAAAAAAAAATTGTCTGTTTGGTTGCTTGCTTGTTTTATATGCAAAACGCAATTGTCTTAAACAATTTTTCTTTTATAAAAAAGAGCAACAAAATGAATTGAGATATTTTATTAATAATAAGGCAAAAGGAATGTACAAAAGTTCTTAGACTTTGATAGTATTCTATTAACATTTCGTAAAATTGCTAAAATATGTTTCATTAAAATTGCTTAAAGATTATATAGCTTTATGCATTCAATTGATATTGCATGAATAAAAAGAATTCAGATTTTCCTTTACAATTTATTATGAAATGTTTGGAATCACGTTTCCATTCACGATGGATACTTTACTTTGAATTTTATATTATAGAAGTAGATACATTGAATTCCAGCATTGCAATTCTTTATTATACATGTATTTAATTTTCAAAAAAAATGATATTGGATCACATGTATTTTGAATTTCAAATAAAGTTTCAAATAAATGAGATTTGTGCTGAGATCACTGATAAATGGAAATGAATAAATACTGTAAATAAATAAAATAACATGGAACTAATTTTAGGTAGAAAACTTTTTTTTTCAAACAAACAGCGTCAATATATGATTTTTTTTTTAACAATTTGTAATTGAAAATCATTCCTTACGATAAATGAAAGACCAGAATTTTTGACATCATTGCTTCTTCATTAAAAGTAGAACTCCGGGATTTCGTGGTTTATTTGTGAAAAGACTACAATCTATAAAACTAATGGCTTCATGCGTCCTACTGAGCTGAAAAGTAAATAGCTATAGGTAAGTAATCTATAGAGTACTACTTTTTCTAAAACAATAATATTATATACACGAGAACCCTAAATTCATATTAGAATGGTTTGCGTGTATCACTAACAATATCCGTGTAGTCTTTTGAGGACAGATCTTCCGACACTCTATTAGAATTCTATATAATCCTACATTTAGAAGATAAGTCTCTTTCTGTGACCTTCATTTTGACAATAAAATATATTGACGACGTTGTATCAAATACTAACGTTCGTTTCCATTCATCTTTTTTTCTACTCGATGCATGAAAATTAAATCGACAAGTCACATAAAAGGCAGAGGTGCCAATAAAAGGCCGGGCACAATCAATAATCATTAAAATTTCAACATATTTCTACATGGCCTAATCTCCAAACTAATTAGATATTATCATGGAGGAACTTCAGCATCATTTCAACACCTACCTCAGAATATTTGTTTGTAGATTAGAATGCCTTGATAATAAAATAGTTTTGTAGACGACTAATCAAAAGATAGGAAGATTTCAGTAGTTCCATTTTGAATGAAGAAGCAGTTGTCTATGAATTTAAAATAAACTCTCTTTTTTTTAATAACTTTATCATTATTTTAAGTTAGTTTTGTCGCCTTTACGTTATATCCGCCGTCACAAAAGTCAACTTTTCGTCGAAAAAACTTTTCAGTATTATCTGAAAGGTCTCATTTTCTTCTCGTGAAAATGTTTAGTTCTAATTAAGTACCCGGTAAATATAATTATATAAATGTGCGTCTTATTTTTTTTTCCTTACCTAATTATAACACTATACATTGTACGAGGGATAGTCATAAAGTTCATGTAGTGGTACCATAGAATCAAAACCGCTTAAGATACATTAATGAATCTTGTACTTATTTCGTTACCGCTATCTTATCTCTCTCTAGAATAAACGATATATAGAAATTTTTATTTTCTATTAAATTGCCAATGGTTTATGAAGCATTGGTAAAATCGATTGGCGCAACCAAAAAAGACATATTTCTACCTGATTCCAGCAGAGAAAAATAAAACTTTTGATAAGAGCACTTGTCATCCAATAGACACACAGATTAATTCATGTGATGTTGTGCAACTGATCTGTAAAATTTGCCCTTTTACCGTACATGTATTTTGTCAGTTCTATGAAATCTTATCATAAATTATACCTAGAATGCGTAAACAAATAAGGGGTAAAGATACACCGGAAGGATTTGTCCTTTTTATACATTCTATAAAGTTCCATTCTGGAAAAAAAAAAAAAAAAAAAAAAAAAAAACTGGCAGATGTTTTAACAGGCTGACGAAAAATAAAATCTGTGGAAATTATCTGGTTTAAATGTCACAAAATATTTAGAAAGAGGAGAGAGATTTGATGGCGTTTTATGCAGATTTGGGATGTCCACAAACAGTCAAGTCGAAAAATGCGAAAGCAAAATGAACTCGTGGATTCAGCTGTCCCTGTCAAATAAGGATCTTTCACTTTTGTTTAGATCGTATACAACATTGCACATTGGAATCAGCTGAGCGTGAAACTGTACATTCATATAAACAAACAGGGTTTAAATTGTTATTAAACTTTTAGGGAATCTAATCAAGGAAATTGCATTGAGGTAGAGGGAGCAGATATTTTGAAGAAATGACGATGACGAATGTCATTAATTTCACAGGCGACAGCGCCAGGTGATCAATTGAATTTATATGTTTTTTTTTTTTTTTTGGGGGGGGGGGGCTGTTTTTGATTTTGTTTGTTTGTTTGTTTGTTTGTTTGTTTTTTTTTTTTTTTTGTTTTTTTTTTTTTTTTTTTTTTTTGTAGTTGAGGAAACTTATGTGAAATTATTGTTATCTTAAAGTAACAGTAAAAACAAAAATATGTAACATTTTTTTTTTTTTTTGTTGTATGAATGATCATGATTCAATTCTGTTAACTGCATTTCTTTATCCATCTTATGAATTTCTCACCTGATTATTTCGTACACAAGGGTAATTTCAAAATATAATATTAATCAATGCTTTGACAGCGATTTAGTAAATAACTATTGTACATGTTATATCAAACTAGCAATCATACTCCATAGCTTTTTTTTTTTTTTTTTTTTTTTTTTTTTTTTTTTTGTCTCAAAATCTGAAATTTCATTACTTTGTTAGCTAGAAAATTAAAGTATCATAAAGATGGTGAAAGGCATTCTCTAAAGAAATGAAACATCTTCCTTATATCAGAATTTCCATTTAAGGTTCTGTACGCGGGTATGTTAAGGCTACACCCAGAGATATCCTACTTGCCTTTACAATATGACGTCATAGTAAGCTTATGACGTGATCTTTACAAATAATGATTTCTTAATATCCATATTTAAAATTTAATTTCAGGTCCAAAAAATGAGTGGAATCCTTCAAAAACATAATATAAACTAAATCTTGTCGTTTTTGGGTGGTATAAATAGCTAAGTATTTATCACGGGGGTTAAATACCAAACCCATGACGTCATAACTATTGATCAAATATTTGCCGAGTGAAAATGAAACGTGACGAGAATTCATGTAAACAAATATATGAAATGGGAGTTTTAAAGTATATACCGTGGATGTTATGTGTGAATTATAAGGAATTAAAGATTATGAATCAGGTACCCTTATATATTCTTATAATGTTTTCTTGTAATGAAGACAGGCAGTGCTTTGAAATCCCGATTAGCCTTTCCTCTTTCGCTCTATAACAACAAAGATGCAAAAGTTCAACACTACGCCGCATACTGTGAAACATAATTTTTGTTTGTTTTGAAAGCTTGTATGCTATAGTAATTGGAAAGTGCTGCTAGAATCGTGTGGTTAACATAAATTGATGACAATTCCTTGATCGTATGTATAAAATGTAAAAATTTTGGTAAGGTTTCATGTGAAACTTTGGAATATTTTTTTCCGTGTTTGAAGAGTAGGATTCTAGCAGCACTTTTCATGGTCCAGTGATGTTTTTACATAATTATTTTAACATAAAGAAATTAATTATCCCCGGGTTAGTGTTGAACTTTTCACTTTTTCATTAAGGCAATTTTTCTATTTATAGACGTCACGTGATGACGTCGTAGTGGAGTGCTTCTTTTAGCCTAAGACCCAATGACGTCTATACAACAGATAATAATAGTAAAAGTTTTATCTATGGCTTTTCCGATTCATCAATGTTACATTTTACGAAAAAAGTCTAAAGTCTCCGAAATACGATCTGTGTACTGCCTTAACGTACCCGCGTAGTTTATAACATTCATTAAAAAGTCCCTTATTGTTTCATCTTTTTTTCACAAATATAGTAAAGAAAAAAATTGCAAATTCTGTCATTCCATTCACCCCCGGAAAGCATTTGGAGGCAATTTTCACCTGTACCACCGTTAGGTTCATCTTCATACCAATTTGTGAAATTCAATGTGTTGTTAGAGTGTTCCCAGTAAAACTTGCCCTCTGACTCCACATCTGTTCCCCCCATCCACCATTCATTCCCAGAGGCTGAAATTGTATAATACAGGGAGATAAACTTGTGTACCTAGTTGTCAAATAAGGAAAATATTCGAGTATATTCATATTTTGTAAATTATGAAATATACATATCGGAAAGGTTAAACAAATGTATCTTTTGAAATTTTGAATATTTGTCACTCATTAAGAAATAATTCATAATCATGCATTGCATATTTTGATATATATTCAGTATTGCAAAATATTATTATAATTTTGGGGGTGGGGTCTATTTTTAGATGCAGGCCTACCTCACAGTGACCTAGTTTCGCCATAGATAAGTAACAATTTCACTATGCATCGGACTAGATGACAAATAAACTGGTCTTATTAAGGTCTTATCGTATGTAACTATATAAATGGGGTTATTTCGTCCAAATTGATTTTCGTAATCATAGTTTTAAATCATAAATAAATCCTATAATTGTAGAATAAATACAAGAGCACCGCTCAGCGGAGCGTCCCCTCGCGGCAGAAACTTCACCAGTAATGGCAATGTCTCCATACCAGAGAAAAGTTCTCAAGAGGGAATTTAAACAAGATACAATCATCTAGTAATCAAGGGCACCCAGTATTACTATATAAAGTTTAAAATAAGGTAAAGAAATTAAAATGTATTGCAACACTAATTATTTATTTATTTTTTTTTAAAAGTCAAGTTTGATATCATCTTTGGGGGGTGAGGGTCCATTTTTAACAAAAATCAAGGTGCATATCATCTTGATGGGGCATAACGTGCATATTGGGCAGTTTCTCTTATTCCTAGTAGAAACATATCGTGTATGCTCTAAATTTCAGCGATTTACCTACCTGAGTATACCTCAAAGTTGCGTGCAATATGCATCAAATCTGAGAATACCCACAGAAGCAATATTTTTTTTCGTATTGAAAAATGACAATATACCGGTGTTCAGAGGTCGATGAAAGTTGTGATATGTCTTTATAGTTTTCAAGAAGTACATGCTCCTCAAGAATAAATTCCACATTGTAAACAGATGCTTGTGGTAATTTGGTAATGAAACCGCGATGTTCATCAAATTATTTCAATTGATGACACCTTTAATTTATAAAGACTGTCTCAACGCACAGTGATATGACAATACGCAAATACAAAGATAGTACACCAACATACCGGAACGACTCTATCGAAGCGACCCGAATTTACCCGAGTTTAATTAACCGGAGGTGAGTATTGTCAACTCGCATAAAATTTCTGGGTTTGAAGGTAGTAAAAACGCGATATTTTTTGAAAAATATATTTTTCACCGATTACCTTGAAAATGAATAGGGTTCTTCCTTTTACAATGTCACATAAGTATGTGGAGGCTGAGAATTGATAGTATAAAGGTTCTCTTTAAATCTTGCCAACTAACTGTAACGGACACACTAACACAAACACATACGCACAGTAGCGATGCTATATCCCCTCCGCAACTAGTTGCTTGAGGGGATAAAAATGAATTAGCTTTTAGATATAATATTCAGTTACATCTGAATTTCTTTTATTATTTTTTAAAGTATACTTGCTTCATAAAAACGAGACCTTCCATGTCTGATACGCAGGTATTTTGATAAGACAGCGACCAGATCATTGTTCGGCAAATTTACACTTTTTTGTAAACCATAACAATGATAAATCAGAAAAGCCACGGAAGAAACATTTACCACTAATATCATGTGTATAGATGTCGATGAGTCGTAGGCTAGGAGAAGCGCCACGTTATCATGTGATTTCTCTAAATAGCAAAAATATGCCTTAATGAAAAGTGGAAAGTTCATCACCACTCAGGGTATTATTCTTTTCTGTTTATAAAAATAATTATGTAAAAGTATCTCTGAGCAATGAAAAGCACTGCTAGAATCATACGCCCCTCTCACAGAAATAAATATTTCATATTTTCGGATTAAACCTTACCAAAATCTTTGCATTTTGTACATAATATCGAAGTTTTTTTTTTATTCGTTCATGTTAACCACACGATTCTAGCAGCACTTACCAAGTACAATAGAACACAAGCTCTCGATATCAACAAAAATTATGTTTCAAAGTATGCTGTGTAATGTTGAACATTTTGCATCTTTATTGTTGAGAACTACACAAAAAGGCTGATCTCGATTCAAAACACTGCCTGTTTTCATTATCAGAAAAAAAAATGAAAATAAATCAGCATACATGATCAATTCCTAATGAATCACACGTGATATTTACTGTATATGCTTTGTAGCTTCCATTTTCCTATTTCATATAATTATTTACATGGATTCTTATTATGTTTCATTTTCACACGGCGAATATTTAATCAAAAGCTACGACATCTTACGTACTTAACCACGTGACAAATAATTCGTTATTTGTACCATTCAAAAATGTCAAGATTTGGTTTATATTATGTTTCGTATGCTTTTATTTATTTCTAGGACCTGAAATAAGTCTTTAAATATAAATAGAAAGAATTGTTATATCTAAGATTTACGTTGTATAGCGTACTATAACGTCATATTGTATCGGCAAGTGAGAATACCTGGGAGTAGCCTTAACTTACCCGCAAAACCTATTTTTTAATCTACTGTTTTAAAACTGCAATGCTAATTTATAAAATGATTTTACTTTCAGGTTTTACTTATACATGTATCTTGTTTTTATCAGTTTTTTGCAAATAATTCAATATTAATTCAGTTTAAAAAATTTTAATTCAAACATATTTAGAATGTCAAATCCAAGGTGTACGTGGTCCGATCCTTGATCAAATTACCGAATTTTTTTTAATTATTATTTATTATTATTATCAGTTATAGCAATAATTCGTCTTAAAAGTATGCTTTAAGGTGTTCGATACGAATTGAATTCACCCTATTTTTAGTAATTAAAGCTGTGCGTTCGTGTTTAGAAAATTATTGATAATATGTCCTTTCACCTTTGTCCGATAAATACACTTAAAGGAACTGGTGTTCAGTACTCAAAACGAAGAGAAAACAAACTAGCACCTTGGCCTTGAATCCAGGTTTGTTCAGCTTCAGTTTCTATTACCACAAGATGTGCTCCCATCGAAATGCAGCTATCCTGAAAGGATAAAATCAAACTTAAATGTGTTCACAAAACGGAGAAACAGAATGCGGTTATCAATGAGGGAAAAGAACTACAAATGTGGTGTTTAGTGCATATTTCCAATTTTGCAAATTTATCTTTTCAGTATTATTTCAAACATGCTATCATTTTGTCCGAAAACAAAAAAATAGGTATTTTTTTCCTTGTTTTAGTAAATAGGTTACCCACACTCTCTTAGAAATATATTCACTTCACTTTTTAGATAATGTGAAGACCTACAAGCTTCTAAATAAGAACGGACAAACATATCCTTCAAATCCATCATAGTTGTTATCTAAGGACACACAAGAGTTTTATGAAAATTTGTGTACAAGTTTGTCTTTTAAGAGCATTTTTTAAATATATGGTCTTGTAATGCACTTTTTTTAAACAAGTGCTTTATTTTTATTATTATTTTTCATATTTGAACTTTGAAGGTAAATAATGTAGAAGAATTTTAAAATTTTGATTCTTGACAACAAAATACGTATCTTAATTAAATATTAAAATCACATTAAAGTATGTGTCTATGGTTACAATTGACTAGAATACAAATATACTTATTAGCCTGAAAAAGTACAATGGGATGGAATAATATTTCCTGTTGGTGAATTTAAAAAAAAAAAAAAAAAACACGTATTTCAGGAACCTTCTGGCGTAATAATGACTTATCTTCAATTTAATCTCCAGCGATTCATTAATATATTATATTTTGGTGGAGTATGTCAAAATATCTAAGTGCCCTAGAAAACAAAAACTGGCATGAAGAGTATCAGATGTTAAATTATTTCGACTTATTGCATCTTAACTTTTCATCCAACTCACCATTGCATAAAAAAATTGTTTAAGACATACTCTTTCTCTATCTTTAAGATACTAAACTAAAATTAAATAAAAAAGTATTCTAAAATTAAAATATTTCAGCTCTTAGAAATAACGCTGCACAAGAGGCACTGTTTTTTTTCAATTTGGCATCACAAATTGTTTAATATTGATTTGAATTTACCTCTGTTCTGAGGCCATCTACACCATCAAGAATGTTTTTTTATTTTTTATTTTTTATTTTTATTTTTTTTTTAATTTTTTTATTTATTTTTATTTTTTTTTTGTCATGAAATGTGCCAACAGTCCTCACAGCAAATACATCACCAAATAAAAGAAAGTTTTTGATTTGAATGGACAAGGAATACGGTATTACAAATCATGATCTTTTTAAACTGTAGTGTTTTAAAGAGGATTATACTGCTCGAGAAGCCCTTTTGTTCCTCGGACTTCAATTTTCCAACTAAGGAATTGTGACCTTAAATCACTTATTTCAAACGAATCAAAATTTATGGAACTCCGATATTTCAACTGGAGTCATAATTTCACTAATGTTAGATATTCTGTGGAAAATTACCCAGGCGACAGGCCAAGCATGAAAAAGACCTTGGCACTTTGTTAGAATTGATTAAACGTATCCGATGGATGGTAAAATCTCCCGTTTCACGGCTGAGGGACAATATGAAAGCCATCTATACGCTGTCTCCAATAATTCAGAATTAAAAAAAAATAGATTACACGATCAATATGTACTGGTCCCAGCCGAAAAAGCAGGTTATAAAATTGCCTTTATTTGTAAGGCTCATTATTTCAATGTATTTTGGATGAACCTGGATTTAATTTTGTCAAAATCTAACGTATACTCTATGTTCCCTTTTTACGGAGGAATTTCTACAAAATCGTATGTCAGTTTTAAATATTTTTAATATTCCAAACACTCAAATTAAATTTGAATTACCGAACTATACGATATACTGGATTCGTAAACTACATAAAAAATACAGAAGGGTTCCAGTAAATGTTTTACCAAATCTCTTTCTTTTGGACCTCTCTAAAATATTCAGAGCAGTGAAGGAGAAACTTCATGAATACTGTACAACAACATATTCGAGAAGTGATCTAAATCAGATGTGGATTCTTAGAAACTCCAAGTAACTTTTAGAAAATTTGAAAACACAATTTTTTTTTCCCCAAAATCAATAACATCAAAACGTACGATTTTTCAACACATTATTTAACCATTCCTCTCCATAAAAAAAAGTCCAGGCTTTTTGACATCATAAACAGCTGCCTTTTCAATAAAGTAGAATTTACTCATCTTGTCATTCGTCATTTGCAAAATTATTTTGTTAAAAACATTCTGATTGTAGATACAAGTACTCCTAAATTGATCCTTAAAATATGCTTGAGTTTCTATTGAAATTATCTATGTAGTTTATGGAATTCACGCCTTCCAAAAATCTGTCGGAGTTCTCATGGGTACTAAATGCGATTGTTGGCTGTCAGTGTCTTATTTAATTAAAAAAAGAAATAAAAAATACCCCTTCTTTTGACACTATCAATGATCTGACATTTTTTTATGAAAGCACGAGGCATCCTTATTTTGTTAGGGAGCCTGAATGTTCAACAAATTACCAATTTTAGGATCCTAAAGAAGTGAATGTGATTTTCTAGCCATTTACTTCAATTTAAATCGAAATAAAATCACATTTTTCAGCTAGCAATTTTGCATTTTTTAATTTGTTTATATCCCTTCTTCTTTACAAGATATTGCCATCATCATCCAGCTCTCTAAAAAACGTACCCTGGCAGCCTGCCATTGAAGTGACTTTTTCGCGAAGCAGTACTTCTTTCCCCTGTTTATCTTCCATGATGTAGGACATTCTGCAATATGGTAGCTCAAATAACTAAATTGGAACATTAATGGAATAATTAAGAGGATATTGACAAAAATAATTTCACTATGCAGCAAGTTAATGATCGGTTACTTTTATATTGATTAAGTTTGTATTGCTGACATATCTGATTACGTACAGTACCAACCAGACCCAACCTGACACCTAAGCAGTCCCAGAAAGCAGTCCCCGGGACTGCTTTGGGACTGCTCTGGGACTGCTGTGGGACTGCTCTGGGACCGCTGTGGGACTGCTCTAGAAAGCAGACCCAGCAGTCCCAGCAGTCCCTGGGACTGCTTTCTGGGACTGCTTTGTTCACTCATGCATGAAAAAGGTTCTGAGTGACATGATAGCTCCGCCCCTTGTGTATTCTGAATTTGCAGGCTCCCTGTTGTTGTTTTGTTTACTTTCAGCAGAGAGGTGTTTAAGATAAAGAATTAAAAAAAAACCCAAGGATTTCTTAGAAATTTTTTTAATAAGTAGAGATAGATTTACATGTAATTACTAAATGTCTTCAGGGGCTGTAAATTTACATAATTGTAGTCTAGAATTAATTTTAAAAAATGAAAGTAGTTAAAAAGGGAAGAAAGTAGTTAAAAAGGGAAGTCAGGAGATGACTTTTATTCCTTAAATTAAACTTTAATACAGGTGTCTGAAAAAAAATATCTAGGCCTATTTAATTAATTAATGCTAATTAAAACTCCAATACAGGTGTTTTGAAAAAAAAATCTAGGCCTATTTAATTAATTAATGCTGTCAAATTATGTACTCAATTTTTGCATTAGCACTATTTAGAAAACAAACAAACTTACAGTAAGATATTCAGAGGGACATACTGTACTGGATTTTTTTTAAATTGAAAAGGCTAAAACCATGCTAAAAAAGAGCAGGCTATTTTTTTTACCGCCCTCAAATAAAACCTAATAATTTTTTAAATGACAATGAAGTAAAATTATTCTACCATTCTTTAGTCATTTAAACAATGTGAACAATTATTGGGGGATTTATTTATGAATTTGTTTTTGATTTATAAACAAGTTATTAAAAGAGTAAATTTATTTTTAAATAAAAAAGAAACATTTGAAAATATTTGGAATTGTGACTTATTTCTTATTTGTTTTGTTTGTGTTTTCCTGGCCAAATAATAAAAAGCAATACAGATTATAAAATGGTGTCAACACCTGAGGTTTCAATCGCCTTTGGGCATGATTAGCAGAAAGTCAATGCATGTTATTTTGGGTATCAGTGTTACACATCACTGAACACGCTGGTCAACAATGACACTAATTTTAATCTATGTACTGCAAAAAAATCTTTGTTTCAATAAATGTGTATAAATTTATTTCGGGATTAATTTATTTTGAACATAATCTGAGGGTTCCATTCGCGTGATTTACAGATGTACACTCGAACGTTTATATAATAAGAGTGTTATTGTTTTCTGTTACATAGAGAATCTAACGATAATAAAATTAAATAAAAAAAAACCAATATCAATCACAGTAAATTAAGAAATTGATTTATTTGGGTGAAAAATTAATATACCACATAACTGATTTTAAATATTCAGGTTATTAGTAGGTATGAACGTCTTCTTTGTTCAATATTATTTGTTTCTATACGCCTAGTGTTATTTTTTAACAGTTCAGAAATATTTTTTAACAGTTCAGAAATAACTGTCGCATGAGAATTGTAAACATTTGTTGACACTGCTCAGAAAGAAATGCATCATCAATTTCAACTGCCTTTTATAGTTACATTGTTTATTGGTAATCTCATTTCTGAGTAAGCTCCGCCCATTAAATTGATTAACCCCGCCCACTGGGACTGCTGGGACTGCTTTCTGGGACCGCTGGGACTGCTTTCTGGGACCGCTGGGACTGCTCTGGGACCGCTCTGGGACTGCTCTGGGACCGCTGTGGGACTGCTCTGGGACTGCTTTAGCAGTCCCAGAGCAGTCCCAGAAAGCAGTCCCCGGGACTGCTCTGGGACTGCTTTGTGTCAGGTTGGGTCTGGTTGGTACTGTATAACCATATTTCTACAAGGATTTTGAAAGTAAGAAAATTTGGTCATACATGCATTTTCTAAAAATATGTTTTAAAGGTTATTTCATCAATTTGTCTTTAGTAATATGTTTGTTGATCGTTTATGGAAATTAGTATTCAAATTCTTAAGACCTTCTTTTGAAAATGACCTTTAACTTCCTTGAAAATCGTTGCAATTTTGCATAAAAAGTGAGATTTGATATCGATCTCAAAATCATTTTTTGACCCTTCAAAAGATTAATTTCTGTTTTAAGAACCGATTGCAAACACAAGTGTAAAACATAAAATAACCTTTAATGAATCCCAACACCTTCAAGACAATAAAGTGAAAAAAAAAATATTTTCACTACATTAATATGGCTCTGCATAAAACCATAATAAAGAAATAGTAGAAAAAAATGTCAAAAGTTTTAATATACTTAAGTTTTCTCCAATTAACCTGATTAAAATTGTAATGCAAAAGGTTTATACATTTAACATGTACATGTTCTATCATTAAACCGTTCACTCACTTTCAGCAATAAAAGTACACGTGTATGCACAATTTACTATTATGTCCTTGTTTTGAAGCACTTTCGGCAAAAAGATTAACTAAAAAAGAACGACTCTTCACGAAGACATTGAAACTCCATATAATAAAATTGATTCCCCTTCGTAAATATGTTTCATCTGCGATGATTTGTGTAACATGTTCCACCTAACACTAAGTAGGAAGACCACTAGTAAGAAGGTAAAAAGGTAAACAGTGGTTTTATTCTTAATAATAAGTAACATTCACAGGCAACTGAAAGTGCCGATCATAAAAAAAAGTCTTCCATCTTCAGGCTGTAGTCATTCATACAACGTACAAGAAAATAACGTTATTTTCATATCATAAATATAAAGGCACACTAAGCTTCAAATAATCTGTGACAATAGGGACACTTTCGCCTGTTTCAGATTTCTTTTATATCAATGCTTATGGTTCCAAAATTAAATTGGAACTGATCTTTGAATATCTTGCAATTTTTACACAAGGCGATGTATAACAATTGAAATAAATCGAGGAACAAAAATACCACATATATATCAGAAACATTAATTTTATATTTTTAATTATCGGTGAATACAAAATGTTTTGTCTAGAAATATGTTAACAAATTTTCAACTAGAAAATGCAAAATTGTTCTAGTCATATTTTCTTTAAAATGATTATTTTTTCCTATGTATATTTGTAATTATCTCTAGTAATGAACTGCGAAGACAATTGCATGGTTGAAAAAACATTAATAAATGTATATCGAGTGGCATTTTGGAAACATTTTCTGTTACTTAACTGTTGACTTTCAAAATCTGACGTTAGGACATCCTTTTATATGTCTAAAATGGATCTGCATCATTTTGTTATAGTAGCAATTGCAAATATATATTACAGCTTATCGAAGGCTTATAAATACTTAAATTTTTCCAGTAAAGATCTTTTTGCTATGGTTTACCCATCCTTAATCAAAGCCTGGTCAACTCTTGTCCTAGACTAAAAGCAAATATCCGTTTTTCAATTCTTTTTCCAAGATGCTTGAAAAGTTCTTAAGCAAAAATGTGTTTGCAGAACGAGTGATATAATAAATATCATTTTTACTCACTGTCTTGTATGCAGAATGGTTTTCCGCTACTCAGGGCCACACACTCCTCTTTACACGATGTTGTCTTACAAGATCCAGCCAGCTCCTTAAAAAAAAAAAAGACTCATGTGCCATTACGCTACCTAAGTCACCTTGGCCTACTCTTCGCCAGGAGTTGATTTAACTTTTAAGGCGTTCCCCATCTTTATTCACATAAAACTAACTACATCAAGCTATGGATATTCACCCGTGCCTATAAATAAGACATAGCAATAGATATATGGATAGATGCCAAATACAGTTCTGTATGAAAAAAAAATCTGACAGTTTGAGGTCCTTTAGAGCAGAATACTGTCTGATGTTTTTTTTTTCTTTTCATACAGAATTGTATGAGGCATATATCGTACTTAAAACATTGCCCCTTGATTTACCTGAGGCGGTCTGATATTGTAACAAAAGAAAACGTGTGAATGACCATTGAAACATTGTTTTAAGAATGGTTGCTTTAATGAAAACTACTCAGTATTTTTGTTAATCAGCTACACAATTGTAGTATGTAAAGATAGAATTGTTTGGAATGGAATGATATTTTGGGGGAATGTAGGGGAAAATACCGATTGGAACTTTTTAAGCTGAACAAACATGCCCGGAAAAAAGCAGATGCTGAAGGTATATTAATTTCTACTTAAGACATTGAGAAAAACTTTATAAAGGATTGCCTGTGCAATGGATAATGGCCAGAAGTAGAGCTCTTCTGTTTTTAAAATGACAGATTTACCAGCCAACTCTGGTTTTTACATAATTTACATATATTTTTACATATTAAATGGTTTCAAACCAGAGAAGGGTCGCCCGCGTGGCGCAGTGGTTAGAGCGTCTACTCTAGAGTCGCGGAGTAAGGAGTTGATCCTTACGTCGCGGGTTCGAATCCCACTGTGGGACGTGGAGACCGGTCCTTCGAATGAGACCGTATAAACCGAGGTCCCGTGTCGCAGAAGGTGCTGGCACGAAAAAGATCCCTCACTGCTCAATGGCCGTAAATGCCGAGTATAGGACAAAACTTGCAGGTCTCCACCGGCAAGTGGTGGCGTCTCCATATGAGTGAAAAATTCTCGAGAAGGACGTTAAACAAATACAAACAAACAAAAAAATTAGAGAAGGGTATTTCTGAATTTTTAACACGTAATGAAAACATTGCTTTACGTTAAGCAAGTTTCTTTCAAGTCCTGGGAGCTTGTGTATGAATTTTTTATCTCTCCTTTCTTTTACAGTGTATTCTTGTACTTATAATTTATTTTTTCCCCAATATTATGTGATCAACAAATAATATTCCGTTTGAAATAATAATTGTACACATAAAGATTAAGGATTGCTGTTTTGCTAAATAATCACATTTTAATTTCCATTGTTCATTAACAGTCAGATTTAGAAGGATATCTGTACTTAGACAGTCTGATTATAGAATTAATATCAAACTGCTCACTTATATCGGACTGCCTCCGGTAAATTTTTAGACTGAAAGAACAAAGGAATGACATCACAGCAATATTTTAAATACAAATATCCTTAATATTTTCTTTCTTTGAAAATTGTATTTGGTTCTCATTACATATATTATCATGTATAAGCTTCTCTGTCAAAATACTCAAACAAATTGACATTTTGTCTTATTTTCCTAAGCCGATCGAATTAAATAATTTGCTAAAAATATACCTCGCTTGTCCAAAACAATGACTTGCTCATTATCCAAATATTTCGACGGGAAATGATGCCTTACATATTTAAAAGGGAAATCGCAGAAGTTAAAACTGTGTAATCTTATCGAAATTCTGGTGAATATAGCTTGATATTCCTTAAAAAATATCAAACTGTGTTCATAATTAAAAGAGTGCATAATTGTATAATACTCACTGGACTATATCATAGGAACAGAGCAGAAACTTTACTAACCTGTGGCTGATTTTCCATTTCAATGTAGTCACACTCTGAATCCAGAACTAAAGAGGTCCCCGATTCCCCGTGTTTTGCTGCAATAAGTTCACAGTTTAGCTGTTGTTTTCGATAGTTCACAGACCTGCATTGACTAATCTGTAAGCATTTTCGAATGCACTGTTTCTGTCCTATGATGGTTAAAACCTTAATGACTTTGCTAGATGCTATGCATTGGCCCTGAGCGGTTACTTTTATGTTGGTAGAATTGTCAGTTTGTCCCATTACGGCATGGGGCATGATATAAATAAATAAAAGAATTTGCAGACCAAACATTATACAAAATGTTAATACAAATGAACTTAAGTGAGAGTTGTTTCAAAAATAATCCAAGAGTCGCAAACTAAGGTTTAGATGGGTCTTTAATCGGTAACCAGGATAAATAACAAAATAGCTTCAAGCATGCGCAACCAATATCATTCTGAAAGTATACATAAACTGCCATTCAAAGCGGATAAATAGCGTTGCGTTATTGAATTAATTTTGTAAGCCCATCAACGGTATCAATATGTGTTGGAAAGACATCAACATTATTAACTGACATTTTACAAAATCAAACTTTAATAAATAAAATGCGAGATTTAATATTATTATTCACCTATATTAATGGTTTTAATTACTTTGAATAGATTCTAATTACTTCAATGCAATATCATATTTTTAAAATAATTCTATGCCATGGATATAATTTGTTTATATCGACCACTCTTTACGCGGTTTCTGATTCTTTACAAGGACGTATACATGTACAATGTATATGTAAGGTGCTTTATACAAAAGCATTGAACTACAGGTTGTCTGGATTCTCTCAGGTATTTTATTATTTGCCAGGTTTCCTTGAATAAATTTGCATCCTCTAATATATTCTCCATTTTCTTGAGAAAATCAAGTTTTTAACACGCCTTTGTTCGTTGAAATGTTTTGCCTTGCATTTTGTTTTGTTTATTTATCGTCAAAATATAACAAAAAGGGCATGGATTTCGCCGCAAATGGGATCTCAAAATATCCTATTGAAACATAACGATTTTTTTTGGGAAAATGTTTCTCGAGAATTACATTGCTACATACTGCTAAATTGATATACAAGCATCTTACAGTTGAGTCAGATTCGTGGCCTTAATAGGCATATTACAGGACATAATTGAAATTGTGAGTGAGTTTTGAGGGGGTTGGAATTAGTTCTTATGTTTAATGATTGCATTTTCTTAAAAAAAACAAGATGCAATTGTGATGCCCTCGTATGGCTACTTATAGCAAATGCTAAACTTTCTCAAATGCAAATCAAATATGTTTACACCTAAAGTAAGGTCTTGCCTGTGAAATATGAAAGCCCTAGCAGCAACCATTTAAAAGATATGGAAACAAACTTTTTTTTCAAAAGTATGTCAAACATCAAGGTCAAATGATCAAAATTTATGGTACCCAAGGAAAAGCTTTCTCCCAAGAAATACACAGATGAAATATTAAAGCCGAGGCACCCGTCGTTCAAAAGATATAACCAAGGTTAAAATTCTCCAAAAGTTGGTCAAATTCCAAGGTCAAGTTGAAAGGGTCAAAGTTGTTGGTATCCAAAGAAAGGTCCTGTCAAAAGAATTATATATTTGAAGTATGAAAGCCCTAGCATCAACTGTTCAAAAGTTATGGCCAAGGCTAAAGTTTTTCAAAAATAGGTAAATGTCCATGGTCAAGGTCAAAGGGTCAAAGTTGTTGGTATCCAAAGAAAGTTCGTGTGACAAATATTAAGTATGTGAAGTATAAAAGCCCTAGTACCAACCGTTCAAAAGTTATTGCCAAGGTTAAAGTTTTTCATAAATAACTCAAAGTCCAAGGTCAAGGTCAAAAGATCAAAGATGTTTGTAACCAAAGGAGGGCCTTGTCATAAGGATTATACATGTGAACTTTGAAAGCCCTAGCAATTGTTCAAAATTTATGGTCAAGGTTAAAGTTTTCCAAAAGTAGGTCAAACTCCTAGGTCATGGTCAAAGGGTCAAAGCTGTTTGTATCCAAAGAAAGGTCCTGTCACAAGGATTATACTTGTGAAGTAAGAAAGCTCTAGCACTAACAATTCAAAGGTTATGGCCAAGGTTAAAGTTTTTCAAAAGTAGGTCAAACTCCTAGGTCAAAGTCAAAGGGTCAAAGTTGTTTGTATCCAAAGGATGCCAATAGGATTAAACATGTGAAGTAGGTTAAAGTTTGATAAATTTTGCAAAACTGGGTCAAACTGAAAGGTCAAGGTCAAAAGGTCAAATATGGTGGTACCTAAAGAAACGTCTTTTCATAAGGAATACATGTGTGAAATATGAAAGCCATAGCTCTAACCAATTTAAAGTTATGGGCAAGTTTAAAGTTTTTGCGGACAAACAGACAAACAGACAGCCGGACGGACAGGGCAAAAACTATATCCCTCCGAATCTTCGATACGGGGGCATAAAAGTATTCTCAAATCCAACCATCATATTCTACATCATTGTAAAATATCCTTAAAATAAATTGTTTGAAATTTGTCTCTATCACTTTTTTAAACCAATAAAAAATATGTCTTAAGGTTATAAAGATAACAGGGGAGGTAAAAGATAAAGAACATTATTAGAAATCGTAATAAACTACATTCTATCATTTCGATGTTCGTGTAATAATTCATGTGACGGATACAACAATGCAGGAGGTGATTATTGATATTTCAATTACCTCCCAAAAGAGAATGTAATGTAAGCTTTCTTATCAATTAAAAACAATGTTTATTTTAACTAACCAATCCTTTTGATAATTTTGTATGGATTGAAATTGAATTGAAAGATGCAAGTTAGTTTTGATATAATATATTGTTTATATGCACACATATCGATTGCATTTCCTTACAAAAGTACTCTAGATTATATATAATACAACGGGTGTTGTTGTTAGGACAGGAAGTAATCAGATATATAAATTTTCTTCTATTTTAACTCAATAAAAGGAAATGTTGAAATATAATACTTCAATGCCTTCCATAATATATCCTCTATTGATTTATAGTTTTATAAAGTCATTCAAAACCTTGATAGTTTGGAAAAAAAACAAATGTTTGGCATCTTGAATAATAAAAATCGATTTTTTTATATAGATTTATTCAATATTTTCAATTACTTGGCCATTGTATATTTATTTGACTTTTCTTTGAAATATTACTTGTTTAGGATAAACAGTCATGTTATCTGCATCGTGGGGGAAACAAATTAATTGTGATGTATAAAGAAAATGTATGCATATTAAGTGCCAAACGGATGATAATTAATTTATTGATGCTCGGCCATGTGAAGGAAGGAATTGGAAAATACGATCTTAGCACCTTCTTAATATGTATTATTTTTGAAAATCTTTGTAACAAAGTAACTGTATACATGAGGGAAAGGTAATATACGAGGGGTGATCAAAAAGTTCGGGAATTAATTGAATTACTTCCTTAAAAGACATAAAAGGAGGTTTAAGTGTTCAATACTTTTTAAAGTAGTCATCTCCAATTTTATTACACATCTGTCATTGTTCTGCCCATGCGCGAATCACGTGATCCAGGCGGTCACGTGACATGCTTCCTAGCGGTCCGTTCACAGAAGCTAAGAGATTTTTCCGAGTCTTATATTTCTTACCACGCAAGTAATTTTAACAAGAACAGACCATCTGTCAGAAATGGTTAAATCTCGCCAGTAGGATTGATGGATTAGGATATCCCTTCCCAAAATTAGCATGGTGACCATCACAACCCGAGTCCTCTGTCTCGGGAGCGTAGTTTATCCAATGTGGAAAAAGCATGGACCCCTTCTTTTTTCATATCTCATATGTTTAAAGTCTAAAGTAAATGATATTTTAGGAATTCAATAACTATATTATTGCTCACATATTCAACTATTTTTCTTACTGTAACTTGGCGATCTTTCAAAACAAATTGCTCAACTAAGGACACATCTTTTTACCGGCTTGCTTTCGCTGGGCAACAGAATAAACATCATTTTAAACCATCTCCAAGCCTTCACTGAAACATTCAATCCAATTAATTATTGAACTTCTGCTAAGTCTTTTGTCTTCATAAACCTTGTACAAATTATTATATTCTACTGCAAAGGAATTTCAGGGATATACGTTAAACTTTACAGCCGTTCGTTGCTCGAGTACGACTGAGTCAACCATTTTTTCTGCACAAGTGACCTACATACTGACGCCATTTTCACATTGTGACGTCACAAACACGGAGCAAAACATTATTTAACATCTGCTATTTATAGAACATGTGTAAGACTATATTTGTGCTAAATTTCATTTTGATCTGAATTCTGTTTTTTTTTAAATATAGAGATAGTTCGCGAACCTTTTGATCACCCCTCGTAGATATCCGCAATGGATAGGTTTGTGCCATACTCAGTACCAGTTACATCGCATATATCAGCTGTGTTTCACATGACTGGTATAAAAATAGAATCGCTAAGCTGAATGTAGAAAATGACTCTAGTGCAAGGGCATATGCATGTTTTTGGAGAAAAATGTTGATATAGATTAAAAAATGATTACATCGTCTATCCGAAAAGTATTGGGAGCTAGTTTGTTCTGTTTGAGAAACACTGCTTAATTTGCCGAAAATGCGTACAATAGCTAAAAATTCCTACTTCGCTTAAATTCAGTTATGAATAAAAATGATGTTATGCCGACCAGAATCAGCCCCCAGCACTTTTTAAAATATACATGATATAAGCAATTGAGATTCCATATTTCAGTTCAAACAGTCTAGTCTATACCCTTGCACTTTTGAGGATACATTGTAATTAGGAATACGCTTATCGTTTTATCGATATTCTTTATATTCTCTGTCTCTGTGCAGCTCCAAAGGAACAAGATGATTTGGTAATCTATTTAATTGTTTTTAAATAAATTATTTCCCTTTTGTTCTATTGGGTAGATTTAAAAATTGGTGATGATTTCATATTTATTTAAGCATTTTGTAATTACTAAACCAATGGGTCCACTCCTCTGGATCACTTGTACTGCGTCAAGTCAAGGATAGTGACGTCATTTATGACACAAGACTGGCTTCTTATAACTCGGTAGTTTTGTTATCAAACGTTGTGATTTTACATGCTTAAATAAATAATTAATGAAAGAAATGAATTTGAGTTGTTATTTACGCATCATCATGTGGTTAAATTTGTGATTTTTGTCGCTTGTTAAGTTTTTAATGATGTCACAATGAAACTTCC